TTGTGGTGTTATCCTCCCCCCCCCCCCCTCCATCCTCCCTCCTCACCCACTCTCTCTTATAATAATATGCACTTAAAGTGTATATTACTGCAATTTGTATAGATGTAGGTGAAAAGAAAAAGCATCATTCAGTGGATATAGGTAGTACATTTTCTTCTTTGTGACAGCCACCTTTGTTATGTCATGTAACTATCTTGAGAATACTAAACAAAAAGAAGCCATGATAACATAGATTTCGTAAAAAGATAAAAAAAAATACTGATGTTTCTCAATAATTATTTAATTCAAATCATTCTTTCCTGTCATTTCATTTGAGTATATCAAGCTTCCGAAAGAGCCGTTAAAATTTGCACGAGCCGACCAGTGAAGGTCGTCTGTGCGGGGTATTGGGAATAGTTTTCAACTAGCAATAACCACGCCTCGGTAAAACCTCATTGGCTATGATACCGCCACTGCGCAAGGCTGACTTATAAGGTACAAAATATACACCCAGCGTAAAATTTTCTGTCGGATCAATCTGGTTCTTCCAGCTTAAATAAAACTAAATTTAAAATTATGCTCGCATTTAATAAAAAGAATTTTATAATAATTGAATCAAGCGTGTTCAATGATGATTTAATATAATAACAATTTTGTGATTTACGAGTTTATTATTTTCTAAGCAGATTTATCAAGTTAATAAGGTAAAATCAGTATTAAAAAAGCATACAAGGGGAGTAGCAAAAAATTATACTAAGTTATGTCCCTTGATTTAAAATGTAGCGCACTACAACAGGCTCATTGCAAACACGTGACCTAAATTTTTAAATTACTGTGTCGGTTAAATGTTTAGTCATTGTAAAAGTAGTCCGATTTGATTTTTAAACACGTGACCTAAATTTTTAAATTACTGTGTCGGTTAAATGTTTAGTCATTGTAAAGTAGTCCGATTTGATTTTTAAATTACTCTGCTCTTTAAAACAGAAACTGTATTTATGATAGTTTACTTGAGACAGTTGTAGGTTAAATCCAAGTAGAAATATATCAATTGAATTACTTTGTGTTTCATTTAAATTTAAAGCACTATTGAAATAGTGTTAATGCATCAGATTCACAACTGGTAAAGAGTTTAAATTTGAACGATGGATACCGTATTACTTCCAAATAGACCATGTGTCTACACACATGACTGCATAAAACACATCTGTAAATTTAATGCTGCTGATATTGGTCATCCATAAATGACGTCACGCTTTTTGACTATTTTTAGCTGCCCTCTACCCTCCGTCACACATCGTCACAAAAAGCATGACCCACCTCCCCCTAAATTGACGTCACAATTGAGCTTACAACGCACCTCAATTTTAATTTGTTAAGGAAAAAAATCGACATAAAACAGGAGTAAAGCCCATTGAGAAAGGATTAGGAGCGCGCTAGTTTCGTTTCGGCAGCTCCTGCGACACTGCTGATTCCAAGCTGTACAAGCAGGCTCTGTCTCTTTGGTCAATCAGCTGCAGTGGCTTAGGCAGGGGGGATTAGGGGGTTATAACCCCCCATAGACCCCTCGGTATATATAAAGTAGGAGGGGGGGGTGCAAATCAAAAGTCTGAGGGGGGGGGGGTGTGCAAATCGACAGTTTGTCCCCGGGTAAAAATTGAGACGATCCTGGCTACGCCACAGCCGATGCATGCCAACATCTGGCTCTTCTCACTTAGGGCAATAGGGCCAAGGCTTTGTGCTTGGATTCCCATCGCGCAATCATCTAATGGTCTACTAGACTATGGAGCTATATATAATCATACAAGTATTACAAGCCTTTACCTTCTTACTATATAAATATAGGTTATTAAATTGAAATTTAACAAACCAAATACCAAAGATTGAATTTCTTTTTTTCACAACGTGTAGGTCTAATAACAAATAACATTCCATTAGGTAACATTGTCATGTGAAAATCATTATAATAAATTAATGAATGTAAAATGTTCTGTAATAAACCTATTTTAAGTTGTTTTTTTTAAGTTTAGATTTGAAACCTAGTTAAAAAAAAGGTATTGATCTTTGCTTAATAAATTAACAGTTAAAAGTAAATAATAAACCATCAGGCAATGTGAATAGATAATACATTTATATGCAGAAAATTTACAGTTTGTAAAAGGAAATACTAAATTGGAAAGTAAAATCAATTATAACTAAAGAAATGTTCCTGCTTTTTTCTGCATAACAGAGCAGAGGTCTTTTATGTTTTTTAATGGAGGCGATTTAGTTTATTGTTTAGCAGGAACTTATTGATTAAAAAATCCATCATGTAGCACTCAATAAAAAATAAACTTAGTACAAATGTTTGTATATTATTGACGTGCCATAGTATTACAACACGATCACATGCTGTGCATTTGTTTCTTGTGTTTATTTAAGTTACCAAGCTTATTGCACCTGTACTCATATTGACCACAACAATATGGCTTCTCCCCTGTGTGAGTTATTAAATGCCTAGTTAAAGAAGATTTGCCAATAGCTGCGTAGTCACAGGTATCACATTTAAAAGGTTTTGTGCTGGGGTGTTGTCTTTTCTTATGTTGTGCAAAACTGCTATTTGTATTCGATGTGAAGTCACACTTGTCGCATGTGTAATAGAATTCTCCAGTATGTTTCCTCATGTGAACTTTAAGACACTTTCTCATTGTGTATGATTTCTCACATATTTCACAGTGGAACGGTCTGAATTTAAAATGTGTTCTTATGTGCGTATCATAATCAATGTCATTGTTGTATCCAATGTTACACATGGTGCAAATGTAGCATTTCAGGCGAGTGTGTACTAATTTATGCATGGACAAGTGTTCTGTTGATTTAAACACATAATGACATACATCACACAATTCTGATCCATTTCGGTTTGTTGCTTCAGAGGTTTTTGTGATTAAATGAGTTCTGCAATGGGCTGCAAACATCGTATCTGAAATTGATTTGAAATCACAAAGATCACATGTATACATCTGACGAGAATTATGTGTTCTCATGTGTTTGTTAAGACCATCCCTGCTTGTAAAATATTGTTCACATTTGACACATTTAAAAGGTTTGGGTCTATAATGTGTTTGAATGTGTTTGTCAAATACACTACCACTGCTGAAGATCCTATTACAGTTGCTACAAATGTAACATTGCATTGGCGTGTGCACTACTTGATGAGATGACAAATGGGCCGCTGAAAAACACACATTTTGGCAAACATCACAAACAAATGTCTGACCTGCAGGTTTTTTGGTTCTTTGTTTTGATAATGTTATAACCGGTTCAGCTGTCAATTCAGGCTGGACTAAATTTTCTTTTTCCTCTAGAATCGAACATCTTAGTTCTGAAGGTGAGACAGATTCTCCTGATAATAAGTGCATTTTGATGTGATGCTTTTTTATTTTTCGCCACTTCCTACTTGTGTAAGCGCAATTTTCACATCCCAACCTATCCTCAGCGTGGAAGTTATCCTTATGCTTAGAAAACACAAAAAAAAATCCTCCTGAGTGTAAGCCCTGCTAGGGGGGAGGGGATCACAAAAATCTATCTACCCTTCCCTGGCTTATCTATTACTGTCCGGTCAGTGCAAGCCCGGCTAAACCCAGACTGGTTAATACCTTAACCTTTTTCTAAATTAAAACCAAAAAAACTTTTAACAATTAATCAAATTTATTTTACACATGGCACCGATGATAAAATCAAATAAAATAAAGAATAGATAAAAATCTACTGACACAAAACCGAACAATTTACACACTACAAACAACATAAAACAGAATGTAACAAAACAATTTATATACAACAAAACACGACGAAGCAAAATTCAACGGGACAAAACACGACTAAACAAAACACAATATATAAAAAACACCTTGAGAAAAAAATAATCCCTACTATTACAATTCTAAAAACAATTCTCAAAAACACAACTAACCACTGTCTAACCAAGAACTAGCAACTTAAAAATAACGTGTAAAACAAATTCATTGTAGAACCAATCTTTCCTACACCAGGAGCAGCCCAAAGCCATTGGTCTACCTATACCACATCCATATTGATAACATTGAAGTTAACAGATTCCGCTAAGGCCCCAATGAAGGCAGACACAAAGCAAGTGACTCAACATTACATTGCACGAAACAGCACACACATTAATTTTAAGCAACCTAAAAGTCGAGGCAAACTAAAATACTCATTACTGTCTAACACAACCGACTATTGACTAAGCCAATCTTAGTCATCGTGGGGGAACCCACAATAACACATCTTATCAATGTAAAACAATCAAGTATATTCACACACGCATTCACACCAGTTTAGGAAACCCTCCTAAACATAACGACCTAAACCACGTGGTATAAAACACGCCAAGGGTTTAGAAAATACAAAAATACATTTTAAACTAACAAAAAGAATACACCACGTGTGTAACAGACATGCCGATGCCCACTATCTCGTTTTAGACGAAAAAGAAATAAAACGAGAACACATCGGCAGTCGCATTCATACAAATCACATAAAGATACAATATAAAAAAAAACAAATACCCCCATCAGACGAAGTGCGACCACAGACAACTGACTTGACCTAAATTTTTACTGTCAAAAAGAACGAAATTATCCGAGCGGTCAGCTTTTATACTGACCGCTTCGGGCGGAAGGGGAAACCCCGTAGCCGCTGCCCAGTGGACCATTTACTCACAGATTCGCAAACAATAAAATAATACAAAATAAATCATCCATTCACCCACTCACATATAGTAGCGTTTTCTTTTTTAAAACTTCTGTATATGCAAAATAGATACGTAATAAAAAGTAGAAGTGTCAAAATGTTAGCGATACCCATAACATTTTTATATTGGTTGAATTGTGCAAGATGTAATAATATTTAAACAATATTTAAACAATATTTAAACAATATTTAAACAATAATTAAACAATATTTAAACAATATTTAAACAATATTTAAACAATATTTAAACAATATTTAAACAATATTTAAACAATATTTAAACAATATTTAAACAATAATTAAACAATATTTTAACAATATTTAAACAATATTTAAACAATATTTAAACAATATTTTAACAATATTTTAACAATATTTAAACAATATTTAAACAATATTTAAACAATATGTAAACAATATTTAAACAATATTTAAACAATATTTAAAAAATAGGCCTATTTAAAAAATATTTAAACAATATTTAAACAATATTTAAACAATATTTAAACAATACTTAAACAATATTTAAACAATATTTAAAAATAGTTTAAAAAATATTTAAACAATGTTTAAACAATTGTAACACATATGGTTACCAGCCAGGGGAGGGAAAAATATGAAGTTTTAATTCATTGAGTTGCGGCCCCTGTGGGGCCGTGGCCCTGTTAACGTAGTTTTTTTTTTCATGCTCTTGTGAGCGATGTTACCTGTGTCCCATGTCATGTGACATGGGACTGTGGGTAGTTTCGTGCCTAGCCGTGTCAGTCACACGCAAGGCTGCTGTCTGTGGACACGGTGACCAAGATGTAGACCTAATGAAGGTAGAGTTGTTATATAAATTATGTTTGTTAAAATACTTATTTGTGTATTCCTGCTAGTGCTGCATGTGCACACTAGTTAGGGTGAGTATTTATATAAGTATTTATTTGTAGTACTACTTATTGGTACTTGTTGGCAGTACTGTGTACTGGCCGAAACATATTTTATTGTACCCGTGTATATTGTAGCCTACACGTGGTTTTGTCATGAATGTAACTTTTTATTTACATTTGTTTTAGGGCAGTAGCGTACGCAGGGGGGAGCAGGGGGAGCGGCCGCTCCCCCTCTGGCCATTTTCAGCAAAGTGGCGCCTTTTTTGGAAACTTTTTAAACTCAAAGTTTTAAACAATCATTTTTGTTAAAAAATTATTTTTGGTCGGCACATCTATGTAAATCACAAGATTTCTTTTCATGCAGCAATTAAGCAGAATTGTACTAGTCTAGTAGCGTCTACGTTTACAACACGTATTAACAGCTGTATCAAGTTTGTCATTCTAAAAATAACCATTACGATGCATTGCAATTTTAAAAAACCTCTACGGGTAGTACAACTGGGCAAGAGGGGTGTTAAGTTTAAGGCAACTGTATAATGTATTTGCTTAAGAATAATTGATCTAGAAAATATTATACATAAATCTTCACACATAATTACTTTATATATACAGTTTTAATCGTGTAATTAATTTTAAAAATTACAATACAGACACAAATACAACTGATGTGGCACCTCTATTTAAATTTACTTATGGGAAAACTGCGTAGTGGTGGGGAAAATTTGACAAGGTCAACAACCTCATCACGATGAAGTAGTAGTATTATGACAGTTTGGGCGATAGTGATTACGATTACAAATTAAATGAAACAATTACAACCCCCATCGCCCCATGGACCCCTCTGTAAAAAAAATATTGTCATAATACCACTGCTACTTATTTAAATCTATTTCTGAATCAGTATATATGTGTAATTGAATATGTATCTTTATAACAGTCATCTAAAAACTGACGCTATGTTCACTCTGAGTTGGTTATCCCCCCCCCCATCCCCCACTCACACCCCACACACACACATACCTCACCACCACAATTGTGTAGAGCGACATTAATGTCACACCTAGGTATACACTGGGTTGGATAATTGACCTAAAGTTACCGGACAGTGGTGAATGAAGTTGACCCCCCCCCCCAACTAATCCCGAAGTGATCTGTTAGTACATTTGGGAAAACGCGTAACGTTTTACCAAAGTACCTTGCCGCCTGAATCATAGCTTTTGAAACAGGTGAAACTCTGTGAATACTGTTTTTGCATTTACCAGTAAAAAGGTGTGTGATCAATACAGTGATCTAACCCATACCCGATCACTATGTTAAAAAATGATGTTTAAAGAACACAAAAAGCAGTAGTTAATTAAAAGATGTATGATCTGAACTAAAAGACCGACATTTTTGTTAAATGTAAATTAAATGTCAGCTGCTATTCAAAATGTTTTTCTATTTTATTTTAAAGCGTGTTTTTATACCAACTCTGATTTTAAAAAGTTTCATTATGCTGTAATACTTTAGCATTTATGATGACGATATATTTAATTCTGATTGTAGACAAAAAAAATTGTCAACACGAATATTGTTAAACAACTTTATTACATTCTAAAGTAATTATTGATTTGATTTGTTTTGACATTTATAAATAAATATGTAGATATATACATTTTTATATTAAGAGCGGGATTATTTCCTTTATTTCGCTTGTCTAAATTAATGTCCCAGGAATTATTATGCCACTTTAGTATCTATTGGATACCTTTACTAATGTTAAGGAAGACACCCACGCTTTTCTTTATAGTTATTTAAATAAAAGTCTATAATTTATTTTCTACTTTTTAGTGCATCATTACATAAAAGCTTGTTATTAAAACGTTTTTTATGAATTTTTTTTCAGTACTTTACAAGTTTTATTTACAATAGAGTTACCTGACTAAAAACCATTGCGCGCCTACTGAACATCACGTTCAGTAGGCGCGCAATAGTTTTTGAACGCAGCCATTACATGATGGCGCAGCTATTGAAGGTGATGACGCGTGTGGTGTGGTTGACTAGACATGCCTACTAATTCGGTCCAAATTTTAATTAATTCATAAAAAATTAATTAGGCATCCAATTAAGTCAAATTTAGTTTCAGATTGCATTATCTTCATGTTTAGACCCACGTGTCAAATGTGAATCGTATCGGTCAAGTAGAAGTTTCCGAATTTTCACTCCTGCGTTTCGGTCTAGACTAACGACTGACGACTGACGAGGAAGTGAGTTAAATAAAAGCTTGTAAAAACACAGTAAAACAAGTGTTTAAAATGTCAAATATTTCATTTGTAACTGGAGTTACTGCCATGAAGCCACACTGTAAGATAAATAAGATCCTGAAATAGGGAAATGTCAAGTTGAGGTTTTTTTTAAAAAAAAACTACACATTTGTAATATTTACATAAAAGTTTTTGATAGTTTAGTACCCCTGTCATTTTATCAGTATGTACATACACATTTGCAACTTTATATAATACTAGCGTACACGTCCCCGCGCGTTGCCGCGGGAATAGAAGACAGTCCGACGAAATAGATAATAAGGGATTCATCCATGCATTACCAATCCTATATTCTTAGACTCGTGACCTTATTTTCTAAAAGTTAGTTATTTAAATGTAAACAATGCCTGCGCTTGGATCATAAATATCGGGACTCGGGTTTGCCTACACTACCGCTTGAAAACCTTATGCGTACATTATTCACTCACCGACATAATGAGGTAGAACACACTTCGGTGACCACCCATGTGTCAG